CGCCGAAGAATTGATGCTTTTGAACTGTGGTGTTGGAGAAGACACTTGAGAGTCCCTTGGACTGCAAGGAGATCCAACCAGTCCATCCTAAAGGAGATCAGTCCTGGGTGTTCATTGGAAGGACAGATACTGAAGCTGAAACTCCAATACTTTGGCCACCTCATGCGAAGAGCTGACTCATTGGAAAACACCCTGATGCTGGGAAAGAATGAGGGCAGGAGGAGAAGGAAATGATAGAGGATGAGATGGTTGGATGGCATCACTGACTCGATGGACATGGGTTTGGGTAAACTCTGGGAGTTGGTGATGGACAGGGAGGCCTGGCATGCTGCTGTTCCCAGGGGTCACAAAGAGTCAGACACGACTGAGTGACTGAACTGAACTAACCGCAATAGTGTAAAGCAGTTATTCTCCAATTAAATATAAACAAATTAAAAATTTTTAAAAAGAATTTTAAAAAAAGAATGAAACAGGGGCTATCACTATAGACCCAGACTTCAAATAAACAATGAAGTAATACAACTCTACACACATAAATATGACAATTTAAATGACATCATGGGGACTACTTCCCTAGCAGTCCAGTGGTTAAGACTTCGCCTTCCAACCCAAGGGGTGCAGGTTCAATCCCTAGCTGGGGAAGTAAGATCCCACATGCCTTGGGGCCAAAATCCAAAACATAAAACAGAAACACTGTAAAATAGATGACCAGTGCAAGTTTGGTGCATGAAGAAGGGCACCCAAAGCCAGTGCTCTGGGATAACCCAGAGGGATAGGGTGGGGAGGGAGGTGGGAAGGGGGGACACATGTATACACATGCTCCCCGATTCATGTTGATGTATGGCAAAACCCACCACAATATTGCAAAGTAATTATCCTCCAATTAAAATACATTAATTTAAAAAAATGGTCCACGTCAATAAATCTTAAAAAAAAAAATGACACAATGGATTAATTACTTGAAAAGCATATCCTACCATAACCCACCCAATGTGAAATGATCTAAATAGCCCTTTAACTATCAAGAAAATAGAATATTTAAGTTTCTAAAAGTCTCCAAGCCCACATGGTTTCCCTGGAGAATTCCGACAAAAATTTAAAGAAGAATTAACATTAATCTTATACAATTGCTTCAAGAAAAAGAAGAGCAGAAAACACTTAGCAATTCATGTTATAAGCCAGCATTACCCTTATGTCAAATCCAGACACAGACAATACAGAAAAAGAAACCTTTGGATCAATATTCTTCATGAATATAAAAAGACAAGCATGTGAGGAAATGTAGAGCAAAAGGAATTCTCTAACATTGCGGGTGGCAGAGTCAGAAGGTACAACCATTTTGAGAAAATGGCTCGAGGTAATCTACTCAAATTGAACATCCTACAGCATTTTTACTCTTGGGGACAGACCCAACAAGAACGTTCCCACATGCTCCTCAAAGACTTATACAAGAATGTTAGTAACAGCACTATCCCAATAGCCCTAAATGCCCTTGTGCCTGTCAGCCGTAGGTTGGGTAAGCAAATGGTAGTATATGCACATGATGGATCAGGATCCAGCAATGGAAATGAGCAGACTTCACTTATATGCAATATCATGCATGAGTCTTACAAACAAAATGCTGAGCGACAGAAGACAGACACAACAGCATTCAGTCAGAATCCCACTGATGTCAATGTGAAAGACAAATGCAGTCATGATACGGTGTTAGAAATCAGGAGCAGTTACTCTGGAAAGAGATGTGGGACACCCGAGAGACTGGTCATGTGTGTGTCTTGATTTGAGTGCTGGTTACATGAGTGTGGTTTATGAATACTCATCAAGTCATACTCTGAGGTGAAAGTGGAAGTGAAAGTGAAGTCGCTCAGTCGTGTCCGACTCTTTGCGAGTCCGTGGACTGCAGCCCACCAGGCTCCTCCATCCATGGAATTCTCCAGGCAAGAACACTGGAGTGGGTTGCCATGCCCTCCTCCAGGGGATCTCTCTGACTCAGAGATCAAACCCGTATCTCTTAGGTCTCATGTACTGGCAGGCAGGTTCTTTACCACTGAAGCCACCTGGGAAGTCCAACTTTTTGTCTGGTATATTCAACTGTGGTGGTTTGGCCACTAAGTTGTGTCCGGCTCTTGCAACCCTATGGACTGTAGCCTGCTGGGCTCCTCTGTCCATGGGATTCTCCAGGCAGTTGATGTAAAAAGAAGGAAAAAGCCTGTTGGACCTGGTGATATGAAGGTTACCGGTGAGCACAAGTTGTGAGGAGGTGGCGGGCTGCAGGCATCTCATGTCAATTCCAGCTCTGCATGAGCAGCACTGGAACCCAGGGCTGCAGGGCCGCCGGGGGTGGGTGGGTGCGGGGGAGCAGGGAGCTGAGGCCAGGCTGCAGAGAGCGCAGAGCAGCTCGGGGGTGCTGGGGCAAGGCTGCAGGGCCGCCGGGGACAGAGCAGGGAGCGGAGGCCAGGGCTGCTGAGCCCGCACTCACTCAGTAAACTGGCCTGTCTCAGATTTTGAAAGCACAGAGGCTGCGAGGATAAAGGAACACTAGAGAGGAATATGCAATTGCATCTGAGTCTGAGGCTACTTTCTGAACAACAAACAGGTGGAGCAACTCTGTGCTCTTGTGGGAGCTCCTTTATCACCGCAGCTACACAGGCTGGTGACCGACAGTCACAGGACAACCCGGTGTCATGTCAGAAAAGGCCAAGAATTTCAGTGCACTGTACTTACCAAGGCCGGAAAAAGTTCTTGAAAGATTTTGGGCTAAGGGACAGACTCTGATTATATTTGAAAACCTCACATATGTAAGATGCTTAATTATCTCTCCATGCCAAAGAAAGGCAGATTGTGTATGCGTGCTGTGTGTGTGCAAATCCTCCACTCTTTTGGGGGCACAATCATATTTTGGTCATGAAGAGAAAACACAATTCTGTATCATCAGTCAGTCTTTATTTATCTACTTTCCTTTTTTTCTTTTGAAAACCTTTATTATTTATTTATTTGGCTGTGCCAGGTCTTAGCTGCGGCATGTAGGATCTTTAGTTGCTGCCTGGGAGATCAAATTTGGGTGCCCTGATTGGAAGTGTGGAGTCTGAGCCACTGAACCACCAGAAAAGTCTCATTAGTCTTTTTTTAAAAGCATGAGAATTATAATTTTGTGATTAGGCCAGGAGATATATATGTATATGAAGGCCAAGCTCTACACACACACACACACACACCCACACACACAAAGGATAACATAATCAGTGTTAGGACAATCACTAAACTGCCATATACAAAACCACTGTCTGGAGTTTTAATTACAAGGGAGGATTAGGATATGAAAATCGTTCATTCTTTCACTGCAAATGACAGGACGATGTAGAAACATAGGGACCAAAAGCAAGAAGAAAGACCTGACCAGTATATTCACAGAACAGGATTTTCCATGGCTACAGAGTGGAAAGGAGTAGCTAATAAAGCAAAATGGGTAAACTAAAAGTTTCCACTGCCTTAGACAAGTTGTCTGGTCCATCCTTGAATTTTTAAACTGTGTTTTCAGTAGGAATATTTTCTGGAAATAACCCAGGAAATTCTTTCCAAATTAACACTTGCTGAATGAAACAGTCTGTAAACCACTTTTCTAATATGAAGTATACACAATCTACACATTTGCTGTACATTCCACATTAAGTACATTGTGGAATGTACTTAATTGTGGAATGTTCACTGGGGAAAAAGACACAAGAGATGAGATCATTTGCTTATAGATACAAAGATGATGACCAACATGACCAACTCACTCCCTAGTTCTGCCAAGATCATCAGGTTGTGGATGTCTGGCCTGCTGGGTGCACCAAGAAACAGATGGATCTATCTCTTAACAACCAAAAGCCTGAGTGGTCCTGCTTGCTCAAAACTCCTTCCCGTGGGCCTTTCTTGGCTGGCCCATCTAGTTTCAAACTGCGCTGAGCTCTGTCTTGTCCTCAGTCCCTTCTTCGATGCCTCACCTTCTCTTATGGGGTGGGAGGCTCTTGTGTGACCCCACAGCTCAGATGCTCTTCCTGGATGTTGCTTTTGACTTTGATCTCTCCTTGGCACACTCTCTTGGTACCTTATTTGCGTTTGGATGTCTAGATGGCTGCGTGACCTGAGTGGCATTCCGTGATACCTCTGCATAAAATTCACTATCCCAAGATCAACTGAACAGTGCATGTGTCTCATATCACATGTAAAAATGACACAGAAAACCTCTCTGAATTGTCTTTATACCGATCACATTTACCCCAACTTGACACAATACAAAATAGGTGATGAGAAAAAGGAAACAGAAGCGGAGGAAAATCTGTCTTCCAAGTTTTCAAACTTGCTTTAAAATACAAACATTTCCTGAAATGCAGAAGTGAAAGTGATGAATGTTAAGTGGGTATTTTTTCACCTTAACTGACTGATCAGAAGAGTATTTATAAACCCCTGACTGATGTCTGCAGCTGATAAATCAACACCAGAGGAGAACGTTTCAAGCACATTTATCACTTAAGACAAACAGGCTATTCTGAGTGTGATTATTTTTTATTCATCACTTTAGCTTACCTCTGCATTCGCTTCTGCTCAGTGTTAATAGTATCTGTGGAAGACTTCTCAATGTTTAATGCTACAGCATGCTTACTGCATGCTGATGAGGTGAAACTCACACGTTTGATCTCCAGAAAGCCAGTAACCTTTCCAAAAAAAGTTTCTATCTCACACTGAAGCCTGATCCCAGGTGGCTTCCATGTAAATAGCTGCTGATGGCTTCAACGCCATGAAGATACAGAATTACAGCTTTAAGGGAAATTAAAGGCCAAGATATTTATATTTGAACAGACTTGCTAAATGGCACAGAATCCCATCATCAGCAGAGGACACCCAGCAGCCAAGGGTATTGCAATCTAGCATCCATACGACTCAACACCCAGGACCATCTACTGGGTCAGCATTACCATGTCACATTCAAAGAACTACAACATGAAAGGAAATCTTACCTGTTCATTTTCCTCTTCATCACTGCTTAGCTTAAGGTCATCCTCTAGCATTCTGAAAGAGGGAACACAAAGGTACAGATACTTAGCAAATTCAAGAGACTTCAGCACCAAAATACCCGTGTTAGAGCAACGCTTCAGTAATGAGTGTAGTTTTTGTTCCTGTTCAGTCGCAAAGTTGTCTCCGACTCTTTGTAGCCCTATGGACTGGAGATCAAACCAGTCAATGCTAAAGGAAATCAACCCTGAATATTCATTGGAAGGACTGATGCTAAAGCTGAAGTTCCAATACTTTGGCCACCTGATGTGAAGAGTAACTCATTGGAAAAGATCCTGTTGCTAGGAAAGATTAAGGGCAGGAGAAGAAAGGGGAGATAGAGGATGAGATGGTTGGATATCATCATCAACTCGATGGACATGAGTTTGAGCAAACTCCAGGAGATAGTGAAGGACAAGGAATGAGTGTATTAGATTTCCTCACTGGAAAAATGTTTCCTTTTGAGCCCTTTTCCTCCAATGCCACATTATGAAAATGAACCCTCAGGACAGCCATAGGACATGACAAGATGCTTCAAGAATATGAGGCTTTAAACAAACAGAATCAAATGGAAATCAAATGGAAAAAGCACTTTCCTTGTGACGTTTTAATTCCATAATTATTTGTTCATTGTTTCCCATGTGGCAGGGGCTCGGCCATATCTCTATTATTATTGGCAGGAAACAGAGGAGGAGAGTGGACAGAACTCTGCCAAGAGCTAGAAAATAGTAAACTTGAGTTCTCGGTGCAGCTGTTTGATGTTCCCCATTGGCGATCTGGAGAAGAATCACTATCTGACCATCCTCCTGGATGGGAAAAATCAAGTAGCAGGAAAGTTTCTGAAATATCTCATCCCCCAGGTGCGTCATGACAGACCCAGTGGGAAAGCATATTTTTAGGTCCATGAAAGTTAAATCCATGCTTTCAAACTGTGGTGCTGGAGAAGACTCTTTGAGAGTCCTTTGGACTGCAAGAAGATCAAACTAGTCAACCCTAAAGGAAATCAACCCTGAATATTCATTGGAAGGATTGATGCTGAAGCTGAAGCTCTAATCATTTGGCCACCTGATGCAAAGACCCAGCTCACTGGAAAAGATCTTGATGCTGGGAAAGACTGAGGGCAGGAGGAGAAGCAGATGACAGAGGATGAGATGATAGGATGGCATCACTGACTCAATGGACATGAGTTTGAGCAAATTCTGGGAGACGGTGAAGGACAGGGAAGCCTGGTGCACTGCATTCCATGGAGTCACAAAGAGTTGGACACGTCTTAGTAACCGGACAACAAAAAGTTAAAAGTAAAAAATTAAAAAAAAAACCTGAAAGAGAATAGATACATGTATATGTAAAACTGAATCACTTTGCTGTACACAATATTGTAAATCAACTATACTCAAATATAAAATAAAAATATAGGAAGATGATAGATATATAAAAAATTAAATTTTAAAAAGAAACAGAATTCAAATGTTATTATTTCTGATGATGACGAAACTATATTCTTATCAGCATTGCTCATTTATTTCTTTATAGAATAATTGTTTTCACAGGACATCATTCAAAAGAAATCTCACTAAGAAGCACATCTAAACACAGATGAGTACAAAACTGCTCTGCCTGAAGCAAGGGGAAGAGTCCATTTTGGGACGGACACTGGGGCTCCAGGGATCAGTTTGGAGGTCCCTGAGTCCCTGTGCTCGAAAGGCCTCACTGTCCTCTCTGAAGTTACCTCCAAAGTCCAAAGTCTGGGACTCCCCTGGTGGTCCAGGGGCTGAAACTCTGTGCTCCCGAGGCAGAGGGCCCAGGTTCCCTCCCTGGTGGGGGAACTGGATCCCACGTGACACAACTAAGGGTTCAGATGCTGCAGCTAAGATCCAGTGCAGCCAAATAAATAAAACAAAGATCTTTCTAAAAGTCCAAAGCCTGACCCTTAAAATGTGTTGTTTCCTTTAAAAGCTAATTATAGGCCTATTGTTGATAAATTCCTCTCAATATTTAAAGATCTCTTTTTTGATAGAAACCATTTAAAAAGTGTTTATTGAATTTGTTCCAATATTGCTTTTGTTTTATGCTTTGCTGTTTTTGTTTTTTTTTTTTTTTTTGGCCATGAGGCATGTGGGAGCTTAGCTCCCTGACCAGGGGTTGAACCTCCACCTCTTGCCTTGAAAGGCAGAGTCTTAACCACTAGAAATGGAAGTCCCTTCTGAATATTTTTAGTAATTTCAGTGACTTTTGGGGTAAACTTGGGGTAAAGATCTGCCAGGGCAGGGTGTGGGCTCAGTTCTGCCCCAAACAGCCCCTCACCAGCCCCATTTCCCTCTTTGTAAAGTGAAAGGTTATAAAACTGGGCATCTGCAAGGCCCAGTACTGCTTTAGATTCTTTGAGTCTGCAAAATAAATTTGCCCCTCATTTCCTAAAGTAGAAAAACTCTTGCATTTGTTCTAAACAGCACAACTGTGAAATTTCCAGGAAATTTTCCTGTACCATTTAAGCCATAACCATGAGGGCACCAAATCCTCCCCTGGCTGTGGCCATTCTACCAGCAGCAAGTGGTATCTTTCTTTATTACCTAAGCCAGAAGCAAATAAGCCAAGTGCCAGCAAAGACTGCACAGTTACACTGTAACTGCCTTTACATCCGTGTGGCTTATCGCACATTTCCCTCGACCTCATGAATTCATACGTGGGCTTCACAGAGAAGACACACATTGAGATTTATTAGAGCATTGCTGGGAAAGAACCTAGGAGGGGACTGTGTGTCCTTGGTCCTGGGACCCTAGTGGCCAGCAGGGTGATGGGACAGGGTACAATACCTGCTGGCTGCCTGGGCACCTATCACAAGATGACTTTCCTACCTAAAGGCATAATTCCTTTCTGATGAAAGCGACAGTTTCTGTTCCCCCACTACCTGTCTTGGGGTCAAGTGTCAACTGAAATTTGGTTTAATCTCGAGGACTGCTCTGTAAGCACTGGATGTTCAAAGTGTGGGTGGGAAGGTGGAGGGAAGGACACAGCATCATGGTTAGGAAGCCCTTGTTAGATGGAAGTTATGTCAGGGGTGACTGAGGAGTTCATCTCTGTGTGGACAGCAGTGTGTACACATTTGAAGACCACTGTCAACCAGAGGAAGACACTCCGACACGCCCCAAAGCCAGGGTTTTTAGCTTGATTGCACACCAGTCTCATGTGAGTTGGTCCCTGGGAGCTGTGCAGAGAAAAGAATATGTGGCCGTTTGCCTCTGAGAATCCAATTAAACTTCAGAATGTCTAGAAATAGGAGAAACTGGCAGTGGGAACACTGAGTTCGACAGCTTATTCACAATGCACAGCACCCCGGGAGCCGGCTGCCACCAGCACCCGGGACCGCAGTTCTGTAATAGTCACCACCACCTGGAGCTCAGACGCTACAGGCTGAGGTGACTCAGGCTCAAGGCCCCCGAGAACACGCCTGGCCTTCTGCTTCATTCTGGCCACAGTAGAGTCCCTGTGACTCAACTTAGAAAGCACAGTGCTTGTCCCTTTCAATGCTGGGAACGTCAATGTGGCTTCTTAGAGAGCCTGAGGAGGCGCTGAAGAGTATCTGAGGTTAGAGAAGAAAAGAGAAAAGCTGGGACCACTTAAGACCCTAAGAACTGTCCCCACTGGGTGCAGACTGTGGCTGGAGGCCACCCTCCACCCACATCCACATGCACCATCAGAGCACTCTGCCCCCAACTCCAGCCTACCCACTGACAACATATTTATCATCTATTTTCTAAAGGAGATAGATGAGCTTAAGTAAGTTAAACAACAATAAATAACAATAAAAGCTTTAAACCAAGAGTGAAAGAAAATGCAAACTAAGCGTTGGTGAGGACTCAGGGCAGGGGTGAAGGAAGGCAGGCCGACTGCAACACTCTGAAGCACTGAGGTCGGTGACTGGGATGGAAGTATAGACTGCATCTCTAGGCCCCTCCATCTGAGCCCCACTAGGCTCCTCCCTTCCATGTCCCTCGGCCCCTCCCCTATACATCTCTGGGGTGTCCTCCTAGGTGTCCCAGCTCCTGCCCAACAGTAGCAGCTCCCAAGGTGCCAGGCCTGCTGAGCACTTTCTAGACCTCATTCTATCCCACAGCATCTCCTTGAGGTGGATGCTGCCGGGACAGCGGTCCTCAGGGGTCAGAGGTCAGACCACCCTGGGAGGAATCTTGGCTTTGCATTCAGCTAGTCTTTTCTCAGTGGGTTTCCTGAGAAATCATTACACAACCCTTGGAAAGTGCTTAGTGCAGAAGCTGGTCCAGAACCAACATTCAACACATGTTCATTTTTCATGAGTATTTCTCTCTTACCTCTGAGGATAAAGCCTTGGAGCATTTAAGAAATGTGCATGTGTCAACAATTTGGGACAGAAGATGTTTCTGTAATAATGCCTTAAAACTAAGCCATTGCTCTATTTTCAGGCCATCTTGAGAAGAAAAGATGATGTTTTCTAGAGATTGTGGAGAGGGAACATATTTTAGGATATAATTGCTGCCATGGTTGATGGATCTGATGTGACTTTATGTCTACAGGGGGCAAAAAACACAGCCAGCAGTCTGAGTGCACAGGAGATGTGTCCTGGAGCCTCTGGTCGGCCACATGACAGAGTCCCCTAGCAGGACTCACAATCTGATGACAATAGGGATGCTGAAATAAAACAGCTGATAAAGTAAAACGCTGCGAACAAAGGCCAGAGAGCAGAGGTGCAGCCAGAGGTGCAGAGACACCTGGACTTCACGTCCTGAGTGCCCGAGGAACTGTCACACTGTGTCTGCGCCACTTCTGGTCAGTACCTGGGGGTGACTTCACGGTGGAGTCTGGTCAGACAGCTGAGAACCAGCATCCTGACAGGACTGAGGCAGGGCTTCGTTTTAAACATGCATCTCGGCGATTCAGATTCTATTCATTTCTCACTGGCACAACGTGTAGACAATAGTTTCTGAACATTATTGTCCCAGGAGCAGCTGGTGTGTGTGCATGCTCAGTTGGGTCGGACTCTT